TTCTTACAAAGAGGTGATACAACCTTGAAATTTTTCAAGAAATTAGTAAATAGTTTTGTATTTTTTTGAATAATTTTTTAATTATTAAAAATAGAAATATAGTAAAACTTTTTATAGTCACACTTTTGAAATACAAAAAACTGTAATTATAAAAAAATGTAACTAATATAGAGATATTTTCTATATAATTATAAATACAGTTATATTTTTTTATAATTATAATCACAAATTTTATATAATTATTTTAAATTTTAAAAAATATTTTTATATAAATATATCATAATAAAATTTTTATCATTATATGGGGTAAGTCAATAAAAATCAAACAAATTATTTTTATTGAATTTTTTTAAAACTTTATACATTAATAATTAGGTTTTATAATTTGGTGCACCTGCATCGTGATGCACTCCTAATCACATGACCGTATAAATGTAATTATTGCATAATGTATCAAATATCATGTATGTAATTATTATATAATAAATCAAAATATTGTATAACAGCATTATTATATAAAACAGTTTTTATTTTTCTGACCTCAAAGCTCTAAACACAAAAAAGCAACAAGTTTTGAATTACATTCTATATCTTAACTCCTAACTACCAATTCAAACCCACCTATTCTATTATTAATACTATTCAATTCGAACCTATCTAATCTAATTCTAGCCAATTCATGCTTATTCTAAACCCAACATCCTAATATTATTTTAATTGAACGATTATAAGAAAGCTACTACTTGTGACATATTAACAATGTATAACGTAACAAAGTTAACAAAGTGAACAAGCAAAACTACCAAATGAGCATTAGTTGAACATGTTTTAAAAACGTCAAAACAAAGAAAACATGTATAACAAATATCTACCCAAGACTACCAGACAAAGTGAACAAGCAAATTGTTAAAAAAAAAAGAATATTAGTTCAAAACCAGAAAAACAGAAAACAAGAAATACAATAAATATACACCTGAAACCAGCAAATGAAAAAAATAGAAAAAAAAACCCCTAGAAAAGAAAAATAAACGTTAGTTTGAGCGTGTTTCAAGATCAGAAAAACAGAAAACATGAGATACAATAAATATCTACTCAAGATTGCAACCAAAAAGACAAGCAAAACCACCAATAAAGAGAAATGGATGTTAGTTTAATATGTTCCAAAGTCAAGAAAACAGAAAACAAAAAGCACAAAAATATCCACCCAATATTGGCAAACAAAAGTGACAAGCAAAAACTATCAGAAAAGAGAAACGAAAATGATAAGCAAAACCACCAGAAAAGAGAAACGAAGCAACAATCAAAAACTACCAAAAAAGAAAAATGGGCATTAGTTTAATGTATTTTAAAGCCAGAAAAAAAAAACAAAAAACAAGCACAAAAATACCCACCCAAGACCGGCAAACAAAAAAAACAAATGAAATCATAGAAAAAAGAAATAGGCGTAAGTTTAATGTATTTTAAAACCAGGAAAACAGAAAACATGAAGCACAAAATA